ACAGAGAGAAGTCAGGATGAATTGAGCTCCACCATAGGGGTTAACTTGGTTCTCTGGATGATTCTAAGAGTTGTCTTGAGTCCACAATATCCAAAGATCTAGAGCAATCTCAAGCACTGTATTATTTTTAATGTTCAAAGTTCTTTTTAAGGTTATAGTTGCCCCATATTCCTATTGTCTCTCTCTCTCTCTCTTTCCCCATATATATATATGTATATATATATATGTATATATTTTTTTTACTTATTTATTTATTTTTAAATATATCTTTATTGATTTCAGAGAGAAGAAAGGAGATAGAGAGAGAGATATAGAAATGATGAGAGTCATTGATTGGCTGCAGCCCGCAACCCGGGCATGTGCCCCGACCGGGAATCAAACCCTGATCGCCTGGATCCTAGGTTGACGTTCAACTGCTGAGCCACGCCCGGCTGGGCCCGTATATATATTTTAAGACTAACAAAAATGATTACCCTTTACCCTTAAATACTTCAGCATATATAAGAATAAGGATATTCCCTTATATAACCACATATAATTGTCAAACTTGGGAAATTTAACATTGATACAATATTATTATTTAATATGCAATCTTTCTTTATATTTACATAATTGTCTCCAATTATTTTTCTTCTTGTTTTTCCTCAGGGGTCCAAAAGCAAGTAATCAAGGATTATGCATTATCGTTATTGCCATGTAGCTTCGGTCTCCTCTAATCTAGGTCAGTTCCCCAGTCTCTGTGTGTGTATGTGTGAGAAGAGAGAGAGATAGAGATAGAGAGATTTCATGACAGCACCAATTTTGAATAGTTTAGTCCAGGAAAATCTGTCAGATTGTTTTTGTGATCAGGTTTGGTTTAACCACTTTTTAGAAGAGAATATATTGTGAGCTCAGTACATCACATGGGCAGGAAGATGGTACTGGATTGTCCAACTATGGTTTACGTTAAATTTTGTCATTTGGTTAGAATGGCTGTCCATCAGATTTTTCCATTGTAAAGATCTTTTTCTCTTTGTAATTCCTAAGTTAATTTGACACCGTGTGAATATATGATTTCCTCCAAAAGTTTGTCACCCAATGTTTTTAGCATACATTGTGAATTATTGCCTGAATTAATTATTACTGTGGTGGTCATAAAGTGGTGGCTTTCTATTTCCATTATTCCTTTTATGTCTGTTAATTGGCATTATTCTGTTTAAAAAAAAGAGATTTCCTCTTCCCTCCGCACCCACCTTAAATTTTTTTAAGAGTAAATATGAACTCATTCATTTTTATTCAGTAGGATTTAATCCATTCTTGTCACTATGCATTTTAATTATCAACATGTCCCAAGTTCAACCAGTGAGAACCCCTTCAAGTTGGTTGCTGTGTTCTTTCTGCAGACCTCTACAGTTTTTGAAAGCACTTCCATGTTTCCTCGCACAAGATGTGGCAGGTTCACTTTGTCCTTTCCTGTCCTTATCCTGGAATCAGCCATTTCTCCAAAAAGCCCTGGTTCCATTTTGTGGAGAGTGGTGTTTGGTGAGGCTGAATTTCTTCGACCAAAGTAGGTTTCATTTTATCATTATAATTTCATTTCTTAGATATTAGATTTTGGTTCCCGTTAAATACATCCCAGTAAAAATTAAAATATTGAACATAATAGTCACCTTACACTTCAGGGTAAAAGTAATTATCAGCCCATTTATTTTTCAGGGGGTTAGAGGCTGAGAGAATGATGACATTGGACAAGGCAAGTGGGAGGGACCTGTGGATAAAGACAGAAAGAGAGCATTAACTTCTATTCCAGGCACCATCACAAACACGATTCAAGTTAGTCGTCACGATGATATTTATTTTTGCAAATGGGGAAGTAACCTGTTCAAAGTTGCAGTGTGTACGGCAGATGGGAAAAACCAGAACCTTTTTTGTTTGACCCCAAAAGCCTCACCTATGCTTTCTACTACCCCATGCCATCCTCCAAGCCTTGGCTGAGAAGACAAGGTTCGCCCACTTCAAGGTTTGAGAAGGGCCAGCTGTGGTGGTGCTGCCTCCCTGTTTCACATGAAATTGCTCCTTGTGACTCGCGTGCACAGCCACCCTCACGAGCGATTGTCCTTCAGTTGAGAATAAGTTTCAAGTGTTTCTCTCTACTGCTCAGGGCGTCTGTGGGAAACAGTTCTATTTTATTTGCTTTCAGTGTTGATTCAAAAAGAACAGATAGGCATCTCAAATTGAATGCTGTCTCAGTTGGATTACTCATTACAAGTACTGCCTGTTGCCAAAAGTTAGTGCTGGTGGTGGGAAACCTTGTTGTAGGCTTGTAAGAGATAACCGAGGCAAGCTGCCTAAAAAACAATGTTGGGTACAGAGCCCAGAAGAACATGTTTTCTCCCCTTCTTATTATCACCTTGGTCAGGTTCCTGAACTCTCTTGGTTCTCAGTTTTCTCACTGTAAATAGCTTGCCTGTAAATGGGGAAAATAATAGCTTGCCTGCCTGTAGAAGGGAGGCAGGACATCTAGGACAACAGCAACAACCACATATTAAGTAGCTTCTCTAGATAAAACATTTCCTTTGACACTGGAAATGTCAAGAAAGAGAAGGCAGAGTCTCCACCCTCATTATGCTTACCCTCTAGCTGGGGATGCTGGACTTGCATTAAAAAAGGCAAATAACAGAGACATATTTGTAACACAACCTATGAGTGTCAAAGATGAGAGAAAGGATTAATTGCCAAGAACGTTATAAGCTTCCCAATTAAAAATAATAATAAAATGCAACTTTGTCTTTTTTCCTACCCATGTTCTAAAAAAGAAAGGAAGGATTAAGGAAGGAGGAAACAAAGGAATAAAGGAATGAACAAAGGAATGGAAAAATGAAAGGAAAAAAACACGGGATATGCAATAAAGGTAAATACATAGGTAAAGATAAAAGTGAGTACTTATGTAGTTTTAGTTTTAACTTTGTTTTTCCCATATGATTTAAAGAAAACTTCATAAAATAATAATTATAAATCTATGTTGATGAGTACACAATGAATAAAAATGTAATTTGTGATGATAATAACATAGAGGGAGAGGTGGAGTTGTATAGGAGCAAACTTTTTATATGTGATTGAAACTAAACTGATATTAATTCAGACTAGATTTTTATAAATTAAAATGTTCATTGTAGTCCTCAGTGCAACCACTAAGAAAATAACTTAAAATGTGTAGAAAATATGAGAAAGGAGTTGAAATGGTACTATATATATATATATATATACACACACACACACACACATATATATACATATATGTGTATATATATTTAACACCAAAGAAGGCAGTAATGCAAGAATTGAAGGAATTGAGGAATAAGAAAAGGTATAAAACATATAGAAAACATATAGCAAAATAGAAGCCTTTTCTTATCAGCAGTTACATTAAATGTAAATAAAATAAAAACTCCAATCAAAATAATGACAGAATGGACAAAAAACGTGATCCAACTATACACTGTCTACAAGAAACTCAGTTTAGATCCAAAGACAAGCTAGGTTGAAAAATTAAAGGACATTCAAAGATATTCCATGCCACCAAAAGACAGCTGGATTGGCTATATTACTATCATATAAAATGGACTGTAAGAAAAAAAATTGTTACATCAGACAAAGAAGGATATTACATAATGATGAAAAGATCAATCCATCGAGAAGGTCGCCTATTATATGCACATAAACAGAGCCCCAAAACATAGGAAGCACAAAACTGTCAATAAAAGGGGAAAATAGTTCAACAATAATAGTAAGACACTTATATACCCCACTTTAATAATGGATAGAACAACTAGACAGAAGGTTAACAAGGGATAGAAGACTTGAACAACACTACCTCGAAGGGGACCTGAGACTTATGTAGCACACTCCAACAGCAGCAGAAAACTCATTCTTCTTAAGTGCACATGGAACATTCTCTAGAAATGACCATATCCTAGGTCACAAAATAAATCTCTCTACATTTTGAAAGACTGAGACCATACAAATATTTTCTCAGAACACAATGGAATAAAATTAGAAATCATTGGAAAAACTCCTAGAAGAAAACATAGGGGGAAAGCTCTTGATATTGGGTTTAGCAATGATTTCTTGCATATGAGACCAAAAGCACAAGCAATGAAAGCAAAATAACACAAGTAATCAAACTAAAAAGCTTCTGCACAGCAAAGGAAACAATCAACAGAGTGAAAAGGCAAACTACAGAATGGGAAAAATATTTTAAACCATATAACTGATAAGGGATTAATACCCAAAATATACAAGGAACTCCTACAGCAAAACAAATAACAACAACAACAAACTTGATTAAAAATGGGGAAATAACTTGAATTGATGTTTCTCCAAGGAAGACATACAAATGGCCAACATACAAGTGGTACATGAAAAGATACTCAGCATCACTAATCATCAGGGATATGCAAATCAAAACCACAGTGGAATATCATGCACATCTGTTAGGATGGCTATTTTATTAAAAAACAAAAACAAGTGTTGGTGGAGATGTGGAGAAATTGGAACCCCTGCACTTTGTCGGTATGTGTAAAATGCAAAATAGCGCAGCCTCTATGGACAACAACATGGAGTTTCCTCAAAAAATTAAAATTTAAATTATCATAGGATTTGGCAATCCCACTTTGAGGTATATATCCAAAAGAATTGAAGTCAGGATTTCAGTGAGATATATGCACCCCCATGTTCACTGCAACTTTATTGACAATAATGAACATATAGAAACGACCTAAATGTCCATCAACAGATGAATGGATAAAATGTGGTATATGCATACAATGGGATATTATTCGGCCTTAAAAAAGAATGAAGTACTGATTCATGCTACAACATGGATGAACCTGGAAAACATGATGCTAAGTGAAAGAAGCCAGATACAAAAGGCCACACATTGTATGTTTGTGTTCATATATGTCCAGAACAGGCATAGTGACAGAAAGCAGATTAGCGGCTGCAAGGTGCTGCGGGAGAGGAGAATGGCCAGCGACTGCTAACGGGCACAGAGTTTCTTCATGGCATGATGAAGGTATTCTGGAATTTGGTAGGGTTAATGGTTGCAAAATGCTGCAAATGTACTAGACACCAGTGAGTAGTACACTTTAAAATGACTCCAAGGTGAATTTTATGTTCTGTGAATTTCCCCCTAATTTTAAAAACTCAAGAGGGGAAGTATTTAATTATTCTTCCTTTAGGCCAGCCTTACCCCAGGCATTTGTTTTCTCATTGATCTGTGGATACTCATCCATGAACAAATCAATTGCAGAGGATGTCCAAACTAGAATTAAAACTTTACAATTTGCTCCTAAAATTTAGAATTTTACCTCCTCTGTGAAGCACTCCCTAGCTCTCCTAAGACAGAAAAAATGGCTACATTTTATGTGATGCTTCCCTACCTTTTTCCAGCTTCTGATATTTACCCATATTATGCTTTGGTTTTTATTTTTACATTTGTTTTTTTTTTACAGTGTGACATGTTGTCATCTTTTTATCTTACTAGTTTATGAGCGCCTCAGGATCAGGACTTGTCCTTTGTGTTTATATTTCTTCACTCAGCACATAGTATGGTGCTCAGTAAAGTTTTCACTGGCCAGCTGGAATTACACATTTGGTTCCTGTAAGTGTGCTACATTAATGGCTCCTAAAATAGCCATGTCTGTTTGACTTGCCTGTGCAACACTCGGCATCCATTTCCCAGAATGAAACTAGGACACATCTGGGACACATGAACAGTTTTAAGACACATTCCTTCTGAAACACAAAAACTGTAAGTGTATATCAAATATAATCAAGCTGATCATGCCAAAAAATTGTAAAGGATTAAAACTTCATTATTACGCTTTTGGTCTTTGCTCTTTTGCTTCATTTAATAAGTTTTATAGCAACAGAATGATTTACACATGTCGAAAATCAAAACAGGATGAAAATGGCAAAAAGTAAAGCAAATCATTTTACCTTTATGAGTTATTTTTATGAGTTCTCCCCTATGCTGTGGTTATTTTATATAAGATCTGTCTGTTTGGTTATGGGCACAACTTATCCGCAAAGATTCTAAGACATTTCTCCTTTTCTGTACAATCATGTGTCAAAAAGGGGAAAAAAAGCCTCTACCAATAAAGACAGTCTGAGGAAGCAGGTATCTCCTGTCCACAGGAACGTGTAAAATATAAAAGAAGCATGTGGAATGGTCTGACTTTGGTGGTTTCTAGGAAAAACAACAGCATTTGCTGGATGCGCACAAACCTTTTCTTGCACCTGTGCTAGATACTGTGAATAATACACTTGTAGGCACTAGTCTCTCTGTTATTTAAGTCATTCATAAAGTTGATCCTTTTTTTTTGGTGAAAAGGAGGTCAAATACTTCCTTTCTGATGGCACATTATTTGAAAAATGTAAATCATTCCATAAATGGTTAGGTAGGTGAGAACACTAGCCATTCCATTAATTATATTATGCTCGTTTACCTCCACTCTACACCCAGGACCTAAAATGGCACCAAGAAAAAGTTCTTTGTGGCACTATTTCTTTTTGAATTTTATTAAACCTAGAACTATATTTCACACCTTCATAAATGCTAGCATTTTGATGTTTTTCAGATTAAATGAGCTGATTAAATCTGATTCTCACTCTTTCTTCTGTTTACATTCCATATTGGGGAAAGAGGGTCATCCGATGGAAAGGGTTTGGTCCCATTTCTCGAATTGTTGTGAAGCTCCCCCTTATCCTGTCCCATACCCCTTCCTTCAGATTTATTGGCATTTATTGGATATGTACTTGGGTCTGGGGTTGGCCTGTAGTGGGGGCTCTGTTCCCTCCCTTTTCCATCTTGTTTCAATTCACTGTATGACTCAGGGCCCTGGCCAGAAAGAGAGTATATGCTCACATTGGATTCTGATGAGTATTTAATGAAGGGACTACTTACAGGAGTATGAATGGAGCTGAGGAAACCAACAAATGATCCTGAGGCACCTAGGGATAGCAACATCAAGATGCCTTTACTCCTTCATGCCCAAAGGAGCAAGGAGAGGCAGCAGTCTCAGAGCTTGGTGAGAGCCAGCACTGTGGAAGGCAACTGCCCAGCAGGAGCTGTAGTCACAAAGGGAACAGTCTCCCTTAAACTCTTGGCATTGAGGCAGTGGAGAGAGGCTATTTCTTGTTGGTTGAACTGAACAGGAAGCCAAAGGCAAAGGGAGCCTGGGTGATGCAGTTTGCAGGGTTATCCTCCTAGGGCGTGGAGCAGGGCAGAGAAGAAAGGGAAAGGACCTAGATGACCAAAGAGCATGTTCACTCACAATTTAACTTTTTATAAAGCAGTATTATAAGTGAAGACGTTGAGATAGTCAAGTGTTAATTGCTCAGAATCACATGGCTACTAAATAGTAGACCTAGGATTGAAATTCATGTCTGCTAGTTCCATTTCTATTCTTTTATACCATCTCTATTCTTTTATTCTTTTGTATGACTTGCCTTATATTTTTGGCAATGTGAATCTTGTAAATGATTATGGCTTACATTTTTATTTTGGCTATTAGGAATTTCAGGGTCAGATTTTAAGCCCTCTTAGCTAAGTGTGCAGGATTTTATAGCTTGCATTTCTCAGGGACCTTACCTTACTATTTGATCTTACTTTCCTTTTGCCCTGATTTCTTTCTTTATTTTTTTTATTACATATACTTTCTCCCATGTCTTTTTTGAAGAGGTGAAAGATAGACAATGAATAGTAACTAGGCAACCTTGGGCCTGTGCTTAGTCAACCTTTTCCCTAATACAAAGCCATGACTGTCCCTGTATAGGCACTGCTAAGCCCTCACCTCCACCCTCAGACACACACATCCATGATCTTTGCTCTAGAGTTGGTTTTACTATCAGTCTTTCTCAATGAAGTGCTTCCAGCAGCCACTCCCAATCAATTAGTATTTGCAGGAGAGTTGATACGTAGTTGCTATACTTGGTATAATATGACCAGTAAATTAACTGGTGTCACTACAGGATCTTTAATGTGGAAATGCCCTATGGAGATAGTGGCTCCCATGTTTAATAGCAGACATCCTGAGAGCCTTTTACTCAAGCTCCTTGTATGTGATGAACATCATTATAGTCTGACTGTTTCCATACTCCAAGTATGTTAGTAAAGGCAAGATAAGCAATATGTGAATGCACTCCCCCTCCAAATAATTAATCTTTTCCTTCTCCAGACTCAAATTTGTGGCATTATTCCAAGGATATCACAGTGGTGTTTTGTTTTTTAAGTGCTGTGCCATTTTTTATCATCGTAGATGAAGGCCTACTTGCCCTTATTAATAGAGTTAGCCCTGCTAAAACTGTCGGGTCACAACTCCATTATCTAACATCCTGAAGCAGCACTACAACACCATTTAAGAGACAGTGGAATTCATTTAAGCAATTCAAGACTTGGATCCCATTCAAGACCATTTAGTGAAAGCTCCCAAAGGACTGTTATCAAGAAGCCTTGCCCATAAGGTTATAATAGCACAGAGCAGTGTAACAATCAAAGTATGGGCCACAGCAGTTTCTAGGAGTTCAATATTTGTAGATTCTAATGTTTTCACTTGTATTATCATATAAGCACAACATAAAGCTTTAACAAGTTTCCTTTCACACGTATCTATCTGTATGTAAATATATAATCAAAACAGGAGATTGATTCGATGGGGAACTATCCAAACTCTGAATCAGCATTGTCAATATGTTCTTTAATTGTTCACCTTCTACTCTGTCATTTGAAACTTAGGTGTGTTGGCCTGTCAGCTTTGATAATGAGGAATGACATTTCTTTACTCAAGCTGACAGCCTGACACTTTTCCTTTCTCCCCAATGTCAAGTTTATGAGACTCTGACATTGACATGGATGAGGTGGTTTCTCCTTCAGAAACATTGTTATTTGATATGTTTAAGAATTAAGATTAAGCCCACATTCAGGATTTTGACCCCTTTCCATGTAGAATTGTCCTCGATGAGGCTCTTTTCCACAACCTTCCTACTCCTCCAGTTCTCAAAGATGAACAGTGAACACTTTGATGAGGTTTTGACATTTTAAAAATGGCTTTCCTGCATATTATCTCATTGTAGTTCCAAAGCATCCCGTATAGTAGATCTCATGATTCTTGCTTTCCTGATGAAGGCATGAATGTCTGGCACTCAGCCATAGACAAGCGTGGCAGGGGCAAGGCAGGGCAGGGGGGTCAGTCAGCTGGTCTAATGGTGCCAGAGTGATTGGGGTTCATCACGTATTAATGATTCAGAAACATTTGTTGTTCGTCTCTGTGTGTTCACCACAATGCCAGACACTGTGAGGGAAGCATAGATGTACAGAACACCTCAGAACATGTCTTCTGGGAGCCAGAAGTAGCTTACAGGCTGTAAGTTCTTCCTGCCTCTAGGTCTTCCCAAGCGCTACTTCCTTTGCCTAGAAGAGTCTTCCTAACTATTCTTAACTCTTCCTCATTTCTCTAACTCCATGAAGGGGGCATCAGTGTAGTTGTTACTGGATTCCCTGCCACTGGCACAGTGCTTCCTCCATGGTAAATGTCCCATCAGTCTTTGTTGCACGATTGTTTGAACTGGCAGATTATCCTGTTGTCTTTTGCTTCCCCTGTGGTAATCACAGTTCCTTGGTGTCCTGTTGCAATCACAAGTCACAATTCTCTTGCTCTCGGAGTCCATTTTTGCTTCTGTCTTTGAAATAAGCTCCTTAAAAGTAGGCGCCACATACAGTCTTTCCCTGTGACAATCTGTATTAAAACTCTGCCTGGGTGTTGATCAGAGACAACACTGAGAACTAAACATAAAGCCTGATAGAATTTACCAGTTTACTAAAAAATTAACCAGTTTGTCCTGGCAGGGTGGTTCAGTTGCTTGGAGTGTCGTCCTGTACACCAAAAAGGTTGTGGATTGGATTCCCAGTCTGGGCACCTACCTGGGTTGCAGGTTTGATCCCTAGGGCACATATGGGAGGCAACCAATCAATGTTTCTCTCTCTCCCTCTCTCTAAAAAACCAAAAAGACGTATCCTCAGGTGAGGAATAAAAAAAAAATTAACCAGTGTTTTTACTTTTCTACTAGAAATAATAGAATCATAAATTATATCCTGTTTGTAAATCCAGATTTTCAGCTACATTGTTGACATTTAGCATATAATAACTATGACAAAGTTAGAATAAAATCATTGGTTCCAAAGTGTGGAAAACATAAATTTAAAAGATTATTAATAGGAGGAAATATAATAACTCCATTATAATACTCTGATGATACATAGATATAAGATATAATATGTAAATATTTAACCCTATTAAATTTTTTCATCATCATAATCCTCTATTCAAATATCTTTACATTTCTGGCATGAGCACAGGGCCTGGAAAATAATGTGTACTTAGCAAATGTTTCTGAAATGAACAAATACATAAACTATGACTGATACTTGACAAGAACTTTACAGTGTACAAGTGAACAGTTTTCCAGCCACTATTCCATTTGAACCTCATAACAACCCAGAGAGCTGGGCAGAGGAATGATTACTAACTCTATCTTTAAAATGCAAAAAGAGAAACAGAGGGATTAACTGATTTGTCCAAGTTCACACATAACTAGTGTGTGATAGAGTTCCCATTCAAACCCAAGTCTTGTGACTCCAAGTCTAGATGCTATTCTGGCTTGGCTTTCACACGTAAATTTATGTGTGGTGTAAGGACTGAGAATTCCTTAACATATTAAATGGCACTCAATATATTTTCAAATATCAGAATGAAATTGTTCTATTTTTTTTTAAATTAGAGAATCACTAATCTAAATAAACATAGGCATCATTAAAATAAATTTG